GATGGCTATTCAAAAATACACGGAAAGAATTGCCTGAAAAAGCCAAAACATACTTCATTGATAATTATGTAATAAACAGAATATTACATATCCTCTATTTATAGAAAACAATGAAAGTTATTTTACATATTTATCATATGATTATTTATCAAAGTCAAGCATTCGGTTTTATATTTTAGTATAAAATTTGGCCTCTCTATGACAGTTTTAGTTATAAATTTCATGTACATTTTTGATTCGATTAATTTTGAACTTATAACGACCGGAAGTGATAACTATACATATAAACACGTGCTATATCCAAAGTCTCACCGCAAATGACGTCATATAGAAGGCTAGTTGAGAAGCTTTGCTTGTCTTGATGGCGGACATGAGTCGAAATTATTGTCCATGACTTCAAACCAGGGATGGCTCCGCATACCGGCGACGGTGCGAAGGAGAATGGCAATAACGCCACTCCAAAAGAAACGTAAGGAATTTCATGTTTTTTAATGTGTATTTTGATCCCATCGGTTGTAAACAAAGATCGACATACTTCGAAAATTGACACGCTCTTGTCGTGATTCTCGTTCGAAGCTCCTCGTTTTTAGCGATTTTAGAGACTGTACCCCGATTTATTCCTTGCAAATGCCAATCTATTCGTGATATAAGTCGTGTAGAGTAGATCATGACTGAGAATACTTATTTAAACGATTTATTATCTATAGAGTCGAATTCTCGGGAAAATACAAATGTCGATTCCTCTGCAAGTTTGCATAAACATAATATCTACGTATAGACAACAACATAACACTGAGGCAAAACACCTCATATCTCTATCAAAATAGTTTCTGGACGAATTCCTGATTTAGAATATCAAATCCTTAGCTCCCTGGTGGAAATTCTAAATGCTAGAAAAGTGGAAATTCGATTTTAAATTGCTAATTTAAAGCATAGGCGTAACTCAAACATTAGGCCAGTTCTCAAGTCGAACTCGGCAGTTTCAATTACAAATTTAGATTTCATGAGGAAAATCATTAGATTCCAACCAAAATTACTATTTTTACATTAATCAAAAAGTCATATTTTCGCTTCTTCCAGCTTTTTAGATCTATTTTGAATAGTGAACTTTGCTTTAGACTAGAGAATTACTGGTTCAATTGGTTCAAATCTTTGTGTATTTTGAGCAAAACTCTAAAATTGTACCCAGGCTTGATGAATATAATATAAGTTCCGTTAACGTAAATGCTGGTTTTGAATATTTTAGAATATTTTATTATACGAATAAGTCATTCTGATCTTATCTTAGTGTACTATGAAGTCCTAAACCACGTAATGAGAACAAACAGCGCGAAAAAAATCAAAATAATGAAATAGTGAATTTTCCCCCAGATAACTTTATGGCTCTCTCGTATACATTAACTCATTGTGAAATATCTAATGGTTAAATTTCATTAAATTTTTTGCATGTGTGAGAGAATTTTTTAAGAGAATTTTAGATGAAAAGTAAGCTAAAGTTATCTCACATTTATGATAATATAATGTAGATAAACCAAACTTAGTTTATTGAAGTTTTTGCAGACGTAAATGCATTTTAAAGCAAAGATTTTAAGATTTTGTGGAATAACTGTTGCAAAATTAAACAATTGGGCTGTAGGTGGTCCAATTCTGGTTTACCACCTTAATACATTTTCTCAGCTTCTGAGCCCATGTAAGACACAATCCTTGGGGAATTTTTTAAATTATAAATGTGGAAGAAGTTTGTGATAATTTTATATCTATTTTTTATCCTTTAATGAAAACGATTTATAACTTTAAAATGGATGCTCTGTTGTAAATAATTTCAAAAAACATTTCAAATATAACGCACTTGATGATTGGCTGTCTACTGTGTTTATATCAACGAACAGAGACCCTTGTGCAAAGTAGTTGTATAAAAACAATATACAACCATTGTTTATGACTCTGTAATGTTATATAAACACTCTGGAAGCTGTAGAGCACTCAAAAAGCAAAAAAAGCACTCAGCTATGCCTTAGGTTCCTAAGCTTGCTTCTCTCTTGTTCTCTACTCCCAGTGTGTCTATATCACAGTACAGATACAAGCACTTGTTTTGTATTCCTTAAATAGTTAGGTATGATAACAAAGGTCCATTTTTGATGATGATTTATAAATAACTTTATTTCTATTGAGCAGCACATCTTTGTTATATTTTACTAACACAAAACAAATATTGGTGCATTGAATGATGATCATAATTGTTACTTGTGACTGAGATTTTATGTTTTAACTGGCTAAAAGAAATTCTGCTCAATGGCTATACATGATAACCAGCAACTTTAGACAGATCAACACGTCAAGAGGACTGACCAAATAGAGCTACCACTAAAGGTGCCAATATTGGCTGTATTGTCTATTGACTGGTCATTAAAGTGCCTAAGACCCCTAACTCAATGTTTTCAGCATTGATTCTACCCTAAGTTAAAAGTTAAATAGTAAAATATTTTCATATGATTTGAGTGATGCATCTTGGAGATATCAAGGTTTATACTTCCAGTATGCTAATGAGTGTGAAGTCATAGTAGGCATTTGGGTTTATTTGTCATCATTTTAAAATCAAAACACTGATTACTATGAGGAAACAAATTTGCAATAACCTTTCTATAAACCCTGAGTAAGATAATTATGTTTTATACAGGATATTTTACTGCCCCAGTAAATTGTTGCATATTTAATAATGCCTCCTATGACTTCACACTCATTAGCATACTGGAAGTATAAACCTTGATATCTCCAAGATGCATCACTCAAATCATATGAAAATATTTGACTATTTAACTTTTAACTTCATGTAGAATCAATGCTGAAAACATTGAGTTAGGGGTCATAGGCACTTTAATTTGAGCACTAGCTGACTCTATTGCCACATGTTGAAAGATGTAGAATAGATCATTATTTTAATAGGGTGTCTCATTAGGTAATTACAATCATGTAAAAAATAACAAATATCGATAGGGGCCTTTCTTGAAATTATGTAGTTTTCATATAGTGACAGACATTGATAAATTATGCATAGATTATATGCAGTATTCGTTTATTCTCTGTATATGTACATATTTAAGTATAGTACACAAGAGCGACAATGAAACAAACTCAATTCACGTGTTGATTTTTATGGAGGGAGGAAAACCAGAGAACCTGGAGAAAAACCCTCGTAGCAAGGGAGAGTACAACACATCAAACAAACTCAATTCACATGTTGATTTTATGGAGGGAGGAAAACCAGAGAACCTGGAGAAAAACCCTTGTGGCAAGGGAGAGTACAACACATCAAACAAATTCAACTCACATGTTGATTTTTATGGAAGGAGACAAACCAGAGAACCTGTAGAAAAACCCTCGTGGCAAAGGAGAGAACAATACATCAAACAAACTCAACTCACATGTTGATTTTTATGGAGGGAGGAAAAGCAGAGAACCTGGAGAAAAACCCTTGTGGCAAGGGAGAGAACGACACATCAAACAAAACCAAGTGTATTAAAACTGGTTTTCTTATTAATTTTACAGAAAGGATGGAACATCTCTGTATGACATCCTTTTGGTGGACAAAGATGCCACACCAGATGAAATCAGAAAAGCATATAGAAAGGTATGTTAGCTTTTGCTTCACAGATACCTTGCCGATTTTTATCAGCCCAGAGGTTGTTTCAGGGTTTGTTATGTGAGTTATTAGCCATGCCCTGACTTAGATCAGCCCAGAGGTTGTTTCAGGGTTCAATCTGTGAGTTAGCCATGCCCTGACTTAGATCAGCCCAGAGGTTGTTTCATGGTTTTATCAGTGAGTTAGCAGTGCCTTGACTTAGATCAGCCCAGAGGTTGTTTCAGGGTTCCATATGTGAGTTAGCTGTGCACTGGCTTAGATCAGCCCAGAGGATGTTTCAGGGTTTGATGAAATAAAGAAATAAGAATAATAAAGAATAAGAACAATCCATATTGGATTTCTTTACTCGTAGATGGCTTTAAAACACCACCCTGATAAAAATAGAGATAATCCTGAAGCTACCGAAAAGGTAAGTTGACAGTTGTTGAATGAATGGATATATGGACGATGGACTGATGGGTATCCACATATGGATGGAT